CTTCCCCAGACATGAGATTTACTGGGGTCACAAGGTCAGCATGCCTTGGAGAGCCATTTTTCTGGGCTATATTTTCTCAGTTATGTCTTCCAGCTTGCCACTGCATTGCTCGCACATCAGCTCCCTCAAATTGGGCTATTTCCATCTCCTTTGATTAGCGTCAGATTGAAGCCCTAGAATTCCACTTCCTCACCTTTAGAGAAAAACTTGGAGGGAGATCCGGATGATTAAAACCTGCATCAAGTTGAGCCTTCCTCCCCTTACTCTCTTCATTTTTGTACTTATTTTGCTACAAGCTTTGGCAAAGTTACCTGTGAAAACTGTTTCTCCCAATAAGTACAAGGTCGGTGCATTACTATCCAGATGTGGTAAAAGAATGATTAGACGATGCGCTGCCTTCAAACAGTGCACAACAATCTGGCCTTCTACAAAAGCAGTGGCCAAATATCTTTGCAGACCACAGAAGGGCTCAGTAGAGCTCCTTGTCTCTATACACAGATACAGGATAAGCTGTATTTCTCTCTCTTAGTTATTCTCAGATACTACAGTGCTGTAATTCACTGCTGGAATTAAAAAACCGTGACCAGTAGAAATCTGTTAGGAGCTTGGGTACAAAGAAGAAACATCACAGTAATTTCTGTTAAGAAAGTGGGGAATTTTAATTCAAACACTCTACGAATCTGGTACAAGGACACAGAACAATATTTTGGAATATTTTGGGAGAATCTGAACCAGCTCTCGAGTCTAAAGTAGATGTTCAACAAAATTAGATTTGTGTAGTAGGAAAAGTAAATGCCTCAAACATTTTGTGTGCAAATAACAGCGTCTTGGAGCTGAAAAGTGCACAACAACTCTCTCCCACTAGTATCTGCTGACTCTTGAAAAGTGTAATCAAGTTCAAGAACAACACATGCATGAACGGCCTTCAAAAGTTTCAAGAGAATAACATATCCAGGACTAAGGGCTGAAACTGGATTCTTACCTCATTGCAACAGAATTTAAAAGTACAGTTAGCTAGAACAGTATGGGGCTCATCAAATGCTTCACAAGCATGTTCTCTCTGAAGATTTTCCTACCAGAAGAAGGCAGACACAAGCTGCCCCCCCCTTCTAGAGCATGAAGAAGGTACCCCTTTCCTACTGAAAGAATTCACCTGCTCATCTCCCAGCAAGTTCTTCACAAGGCATTGCCAAGACCATAGCAATGAAGGGGTATGATCTTGAAGAGAGTGTTATCACATTGCAACAGACATGCCCATCTACAAAGTGTCTCGTCAGCACTGGCACAGTCTATCTCCCTCTGTGTAATGATATAAAGCACATCATATTTCATACAGCCAAGCTACTGTTAGGGAAGATTTCATGGTCATTTTACAAAGTACTGCATGTGCAACTTGGTAACCCTTACTCTGAATATACCTTTGTGATCAGGTGTCCAGAAATCAGACTTTCTCCTACTTGTAAGTATTTCATCCCACAAGAAAATCAGAAGGCTTAGTTAATCATTTTCAAAAGAGAACATGCCTATCTAACATCAGCATCAGAGAAGTTGTGCTCATCATTTAGCAGATGCCAAGCTGAAAGAAGCCATGATACTTCGGAACACCTATCTTCGTACTGCAAAACCACAGCCTCTGGACACCACATTCTTGGATAAGTTTTAAAAGAATGGTCAAACAGAGCTCAGAAAGAACACCATCTCCCTCAGAACAGCTGTGCCAGCTCAGGCCAAAGGCCTATCTAGTCTAGTATCCTGCCTCTGAACAGTTATGACCACTGATGAATGTATCTGCAAGACAGCACAAAACATAAGTGCAAACTCTGTTGTGATACATCTTGTGTAATCATCCAGATCCTACAGATCCAACATTGAAGGATTTCAAAAGTCATAAACAGCATCTCTAATAACGGCCACGCCACATTGCTGTTCTGTTTGTTCAACACTTTTTGAATCCATATAAATTTTTAACGTCTACAACTTAAGATTCACTATTTAATGAAAGGAAAAAAAACACCCCAAACCATTCCTGATGCTTCTGAACCTCTTAATCCATGCTTATTGTTTAATTACTCTGCTCTGGTGGATTTGCAAAAGGAAGTCCTTACAATCTCCTTTCTCCAAATACTGGTTTCTTTAGAAAGCTCCAAAAGATCTGAAGGGCTAGAAGCATTCTTGCCATGTAATTACCTGTACATCCACCTATCTCATCCTTCACTGCTTCTGTCCTTTTGTCCAACTGACAGCATTTTCCCAAACTTCTCTGCAGCAGCTATGCAAGATCTCTCAAATCCCAGCACAAGTTTTCACTTCCTCAGCACACCACTGCTCTGTTGTTAAACTTGTCAAAACAATGGAAGGCACAGACTCACAGACCCACACTAGAAAGCACTGGCCATACCAATCCTCTGTGAAAGGCATCAGCATTGAGGTTGTGGCTTCCTGTGCTAAGCACACCAAACATCCAAACTTAAACACTGCCTGTGCAAATGTAATGGTGATCCCACAACTTCTTCTAAACCTTCCAGGCCAAAAGAAGGGATATCCCATACGTAGTGCTGAAGCAGCTGGGCTTACAATCAAGGACATGATGTGATGTAGGCAGGTGGTTTTGCATTAACGTAGAGAAGCACAAGACTCTTTCCTCCCTCAGCAATCAGATGCAAGATTCTGAATACTCAACCTGCAGCTTCACAAAATAAAAGGTTTTGTGAGATGTACCAAAGAGAAGTAACAGTACCTCAGTGCTTTCCATACCCAGCTGTTTTGTTGGGTTTTTTTTTGAGGAATTAAAAATAATGAATAAAGCGTATGTAGAATAGCTATAGATGTCTAACACACAAATAAAATCTCTCACAGAGCACAGAAGGGTTTGGGAATCTCACAAGATTTGCTATGCAACCAGGAAATCCAAACTCCTCAGCTATTAAGAGCCCCACTCAACTCCCAGCACCACAACAGAGAACCTGATGTTCCTCACACCTTGTTAAACATGGGCCATGGTCTTCAAGTCACCCATACCTACTAACCAGGTGCCAGAGGCTCCAAACCAGCAGCCTGGGAGCATCAGGCTGCAGTCCAAGTAGATGTAGCCCAAAGCATTTCATACTCAGGGGATCCTTCAGAGTCACAGAACTAAGAAGCCTACAAGGATGACAGGAGAAGGTGTTAAAAACCAGTAACTTTGATAGAAACCTGCTTATGTAATCAGAACAATCACTGAAAGCTACAGCTTACCAGAAATTGTTGCTTTAAGACAGAAAATATGTATTTGAGGCAAAGAAATATACACTCCACTGGATATTATTCAGACAAGGCAACAAAGAGAGGGATGAATTCTGTCTTCCTTATACAGGAAAGGAATTTTCTACCCAGTCCCAAGGACTTAAATCAGCATCATACTGACTTAACATACATCACAAAGACACTGTTAGTACAGTTCAAATACATCTTCTCAGATTAGCATGTATTCCTCAATTTAAAACCAGCAGAAAAAAAGACTATTCACAACAGATGTATCTGTCTTGGAACATAAGAATTATATTAGTACGTATGACCCTCAGCCAAACTCCCTTACAGTATTTACTGCATAAAATAGGGCCCTTCACTTGCATTAACTTTGCTAATCTACAAGCAGTATTGTTCTCAGAGTTCTGTTGTGTTGTTCACCAAAATGCAATCATTAATGCACACAGGGACTTATCAACATACAGTGAAGCTCCTGCCACCACCTCTTGTGCCAGACAGATAAAGCACCATAAGCAAGCTAGAATGTGCTTCAATCAGGCTTCCACTTTTGCACACCCACCTATGCTCAAAGTGCTTATTTGTCTTCATGGGTGCCAAAATTTAAGTGTAATATAATAGATAACTACCTATACAATACTAAGGAATCACATGCTATCTATTAAGAAGGAGCAGCCAGCTACAGCATCTCACAGTTTACACAAAAGGGAAAAAGTCTCTTGAAGAAACTATTAGGAAACTGTTGTACAATTCAGCCATGGGAAGAAAAAGCCTCAGTATGGTGCAGATCTCTATTTCCTTCTTGATATTTTTATAGCTCCCAAAATGAGTTCTAGCTTGCATGCCATCTGTCCTGCATAATTTTGGGTGGGAGTTAAAAAGCCATGCAAAAGCCCTTAAAATGTAGTCTCCACATCTCTACAGGAAAAAGCAAAGGATGTAAGGCTTATAAGCTTGAAAGAGAAATACAGTGTCAGTGCCCTGAGATGGAACATGGCAACAGCACCAGGCAACGTTTAGAGAAACCCTCACCTGCAAACCCTCTGGGTCTGAAGGTCTGTGCTGCCCTTCCCACCACCACGCTCTCCTTCCTCAAACCCATTTCACAGAATGGCCAGGGTTGGAAGGGACCTCAAGGATCATGAATCTCCAACCCCCCTTTCACACGCAGGGCCACCAACCGCCCCATTTAATACCAGACCAGGCTGCCCAGGGCCCCATCCAACCTGGCCTTGAACACCTCCAGGTTCGGGGCACACAAGGGAAGGTCACACCTAACCCATATGGCATCCTTCACATAGCAACCCATCCCTGCGCACCCAGCCTGTCCACGCTGCACCTTCGTGGACATTAGCAAAAGGCTGAACATGAAGGAAAACTTCCACATAGGAGAGGTGAGGCAGCGGTGCAGGCCGTCCCGGGAGGCATCCAAGAAACACACGGATGTGACACGAAGGGACAGGGGTTAAGCGTGCAATAGACGGACAGCTGGGCCAACCTTAACGATCCTACGACTCTCCCGTGTGACACACAGCTCCGATCCTCGTGCACTTACAGCCGCCACACGCCGAGCATCCCTCCCACCTCTCACACACCTTTCACCACACCTCCCCCACGCCAACCCTGCCCGCACCGCGCTGCGCCCATCTCCCATCTCCGCCGGTTCCCAACGCACCGCCCCGACCCCGTCCACCGCCCCACACGCCGACCCCCCGCCCCGCCCCACTCCGCACTCGGCCCCTCGCCCCGCCGCTCACCGTCCAACGACACGAACTGCCCCACCGCGGAGGAACCGCCGCCGCTGTTCTCCACGAACTGCACCTCGGAGACGATGATGTTGTCTTCCAGCACCGAGCCGCAGCCCGTGCACACCGCATCCCCACGCGCTGCGTCTACCTCGATCTCCGAGCAGCCGCACGCGGCGCACACCCGCCCGCCCGGCATCGTGCCCCGCGGTCCCGGCCGCAGCCCGCCCGCTTCCCAACGCCGCCGCCCGGCACGGCACGGCTCGGCCCGGCCTCGGCGCAGGCCTCGCTCGCCGGGACCGGCACGGGGAGGAGCGCGGCGGCGGCCGGCCCTAACAGCTCTCGCGAGACTTGGCCGCGCCCTCCCTTTCCGCGTGCCGGTCCTCCCTGATGGCGGGGCGGGATCTGTGTGGGACGGGCGGGCGCTTCGCTGCTCGCGGCGCAGGGAAAGCAGAGAGAGCTCTGGAGGTGCTTCTAAGGAAGCAGCTGTGGGCCCCGCTTACCAAAAAGACCTTCGTAATGTTCTGCTGCTGGGGACAAACACTGAGAAGCGCAAGGCAGTAGTGCACGCAGCTGTCAGCGCTCTGCAGTCGGCCCCAGGGCAGGCTGTGTGAAGGATGGGGGAGCAGCCGGTCTGGTGCTTAAGACAGGCCCTCAGGACTCGCTAAAGTTCCCCTCGTTTTACCATATTCTTCTTACCTGACCTTTTGTAAGCTGTTAATAAACTCGCGCTGTGGTCTCTGTACAATAAAACAAGGGCGATGACACCTTTGTGCCAATCTCTGTTTGTCCTCCCAGCTGAGGTGGTTTGATTTGGGGAGAAAGGAGTTCATAACTCAGAAAGGAACTTGCACTGCACCCAGCAAGCAGTGTGGCTTTTTCTGACATGCTATAAAGTCTGTAGTAATGACAGAATCACAGAAGTGCACGAGTTGGAAGGGGCCTCTGGAGATTCCCCAGCTCAGCCCCTGCTGAAGCAGTTCCCAACAGCAGGTTGCACAGGAAATATCTGGGTGGGATTTGAATATCTGCAGAGAAGGGGACTGCACCACCTCTCTGGCAGCCTGTTCCAGTGCTCTGTAACCTGCACAGTAAAGAAATTCCCTCTCATATTCACATGGAACTTCTTGCGTCCCCATCTGTGCCTACTGCTCCTTGTCCTGTCACTGGGCACCACTAAAAGGAGCCTGGCCCCATCCACTTGACTCCTACCTTGCAGATATTGATAAACGATGATGAGATCCCCTCTCAGTCTCTCCTGCAGGCTGAACAGTCCCATATCCCTCAGCCTTCCCTCAGAAGAGAGATGCTCCAGGCACCGATCACCTCTGCAGCCCACTCATATTTCAGAAGTATGTTTCTGCAATGCTTTAACTATTACTAATTCATCAATCGCATCCAATTTCATCATTTTATGATAATAATAAACAGAAATGTTACAGAACATAATCTGTTTCAATAAAGCCCTTTGAGTTTTGCCTTACTGAGACACCAAAGTACTAAATCTTAGTGCATCGTAATTTGTGGCTATTAATTCTGGAAACAGCTGAACTGCTCTTTTATCCAAGAAAGTGACTGCTCACTTTAGTATTCAACTAATGTGACACTCTGCAGACTGAAGCTGAGCCAAATAGATATACATAACACTATAATAGGATAATAAAAGCTGGGTGACAAAGTCTTTGGCTACAGCAAATGAGAACGAGCCCAAATGCAGCAGCCATGAATACAGAAATGAAAAAAAAAAAAAAACCAACAACAAAAAACCCAACCAACAACAAATGCTTACCTTTGGAAAGCCTCAGATAGGCAGAGATCTCCAGCAGGAGAAGTCTTTGCCTCCACTGCCAACCTTAAATGAGTTTCCACCCTTTCCAATCACTCAGGTACACTGCTTGCACCTGAGCTCCCCTGGGTTAGCCCTGCCTTCCACCAGGTGCTCAATCACTGTTTCAAGCTGTGACTTGGCATTTCCACTACAGATATTGCAGTAGAGTGTCTGTACAGACTTTCACTATTGGCATTTGAATACAGAAGCCCACTAGTGCAGAAGCATTTGATCTTCTTACAAACTCAGTACTGTCAGTATATCTTCCCCAAATGGCTCAGATGTAGCCATACATGTACAGGCTACATACAGATTTCTATGAACTGCCCATACACATGGTACAAAATTACTTACAGCAGCACATTTAGACACGCAGTGGGACACAAACTAAAGCTCTGTTGTGCCATCTGGAAAGCTGAGCATCTCTTAGGTGTGAGCTTTTATCATGTGCCTGGAGCTTTGCAGGTTCTGGGCTTTTGCAAAAGCAAAATAGCAATATCATCGCAGAGACTGTACTGCTATAGACACAGTTTGGCTTCCTTCTTATTGGACTTGTTCTCCTGTTCCGAGATGGATTTGTGAAAATAAGAACTTCAGGTTTCTGAAGATTCTTCTTTTGGAGTTTCCTTACTGAAGCTCCTCCTGCTGTTCGTGATGCTGTGACTCCAAGTGTGAGCTCACAAAATTATAGCTCGTTTCAGTAATGTCAGGGGAAAGTGATATCCCCAATACACAAATACTTTTTATTGTTTACAGGAGAATGAAAAAAGAAATAAATATTTTTTTCTCTCAGAAAAGTCTCTAGAATGTCGGAATATTTTAATTAAAAACTGCTGATTTACATTAGGTCATTTGTCATACAGTGTCTCTGACAGGCAGAAACAGAAGAAATCTGGCAACAGTTATGAAATACCTTTCCATCAAAAGGTTTCTTCTTATCTCACTCAGATGGAAGTTAATGTAGTCTTGATCCATTATTTAATTTTTCATCCTTATCCCAAAATTATCGGTGGTTTGATTTCTGATGTAATCAGTCTTTCCTGGGAGTCCCAGATAAGTTTGGAGTTTTCCATTCTGAATGTGAGCAGCAGAGGGCTCTAGTGAGAGCATTGTATAACTGCTGCTGAGCAAAAAAAAAGAAAATCTCATCTGACATAATACTGAATGAGGACATCAGTTTTAATCTTTGTCTTCTCATAAGGTGAGGCTAGTGCTGATGAAAGATGATGTGCTCCCAGTTCTGAAAAATCAAATCCTCTGCTTCCTGCTCATGAAAGCTTTCTTATGCCAAAGCACACAACATTTCAAACATTTCTGTATGGACATCTACTGTCCTGAACCGGTGATTGAGTACCTGGTGGAAGGCAGGGCCAACCCAGGGGAGCTCAGGTGCATGCAGTGTACCTCAGTGACCAGAGAGATGGAGCCAGCCCCTTCCCAGACCTCATTTAAGGGTTGGCAGTGGGAGATGAGGGTATCTCTTGCAAGAGCATTAACTATGCTCTTTTTGTTCAATACCACTTACTCAGTTCATTTAAGCTAACAAATAATAATCTTTCAGTGAATTGTGTGAAGCTTGCATTAGTCAGAGCTGACAGATTAAAAAATTGCATTGACAGAACCCCATTCCCCATGCTATTTTACCCTTTTAATTAAGAGGAGAAAAGAATCTGTCTTCCATTTCACCTGCTTTTGTATTTTATGCCTCTTATTTTCACTTATTCACTTATTTGCAACCAACAAATAGTAATCAGGATGTCTGTTAGCCCAGACTCACCCATTTCCTTCCTGCTGTGTCCAACCCCAAATATAACCTGCTCATGGGTATGCGTGTTTGGCATTCATTTGCTGAGGTTTCAAAGAGAGGAACTCTCTCATCATTTGCTTTTTCTACTATACAGCAGTGGGATGACTGCAAATGGGCTGTACAAAAGCAGGCTGGAGTGCGAGGGAATCCCACTCTGCTCACTAATGTTGAACAACACAGCAGGGAATACGCTAGAGCAAGGTGATGACACATCACTGTGCTTCTGCAAGGAATGGGTTTCCTTCTATAAATATACTGATTTGAAGCAGATGCCTAATATCAGATGACAGAAAACCCGTAGACTCTGCCTTTTCATCATAGCTGAACCTTCTGTGTGCTGAGCCACCCAACACACCCACATGTGGGAAATATTTTCAGTCCAAGTACAAGCCATGGATGCAATCAGCTGCTGTAAGAATGTAAGCATCCTCAGCTCTCTGGGATCTCAGCTGTGTTCATTTATCTTAAAGGAAGGGCTAAGAGCCTGGCTGAAATCTTGGAAGGAGTTGGCTGTGCCCGTAACAGGGGAGGCAAAGCACAAGCAGAAGAAACCTTCTTTGGTTCTGGACCATCCTAAAAAAAAAAAAAAAGAGAGAGAGAGACATAACTTATGCATTCAAGTTTGTATTTGTACAGAGATTCCTTAGAGCTATGGGAATTTGGTAGAGGGGGGAACAAACGATTTCGAAATGGATTAGCCTTATACGGTGATAGTGATAGCAGTTGGAGGCTTCTTTTTCTGCTTGTGCCAGTCCGAATGCTTTTGGCTATACTAGCGATGGACACGAGAGGGCAGCCAAGGAAAATGAAATGGCAGAGGAGCTGTAAGCTTCGCACATGCAGTACTGATTTTCCATCTGGTTTCCTTTTTTGTTGTTGTTTTTGTCCACGCCTCCTCTAATTATTTCCTGACATTGTTTTCTTGATATTCATCAATAAACGGTACATTGAAAAAAGTTTTTTTTAAAAAAAGCAACAACTTTGGAAAATCATTTCAAGAAGGGAAGTTTTTGGCATTTGTTAAATCACGTGGCAGAGCGGTTTAGTGAGCAATTGCACTTATCTCTGTGCAATCACATCTTTGCTGCTCAGAGGTAGCACTTTGCAACCGAGCCTTGATTCCTAGGTAAATGGCAGAGAAACCACATGGCTGTCACAGTTCCCCTCCCAGGGTCTCTGCCTTATACAGTTCTTAGTAGGTGAGGAGAAACTTCAAATATTGCAGCTTAGAAAATCCACTGAGAAATTAGTAGAGGGAAAGTCCAAAGGTATTGAGTACAAAGGTCCAGAAGCAACCAACAGCTTGAGAAGTGTCTCCTCAGCAAATTGATGGAAGCTGTGTGCAATAGCTCTGTCTAGCTGTTCTCTGCACAAACACACGCATACACACATACTACTTGAAGAGGTACAGCTGATAAGCAAATGCTTTCGGGAAGGATGCAAATAAAGCAAGGTAAAAACATTACATCCTCATAGTTTCTAGTGATCTTCAACTTCAGAACTTCATCAGCTGAAGGTTAATAAGCACTAGGAGACATTTTATCTGTTTGTTGAATCAATTTTTTAAAAACGTGTGTTCTTTCAACATCCACAGCATCCGGTGGTTTAGGGGTTATCACATCTTAGTTGGGTAGCAAGTGA